AAAAACAAAAAAGAAAAAAAAAAAGGATCCTGGAGATCGATTATTTTTTTACGACGTCTTTATTTGAAAAAATTTTTCTCAACGATTTTAACGACAAACGATTTCGTGGAGGCTTCATCATAACATAGGGATCTCCACGAGGAACGTTAACTCCATTTTCGCAAAACGCATTCGTGGATTAAACTGAGCTCGCTATACTTCTTGCGTACAACGCTCACCCGTGAAACGTCTTTCTCGAAAAAGAAAAAGAAAAAAAAAAAGAAGAAGAAAAACGGAGCATCCTCCTCGTTTAACCGTTTAATGAACATTTAACTGCCACGTATACACTCGTGATTAACCAAAAAGGGAAAAAAGAAAAAAAAACAAGAACCAAGGTTGAAAACATTTAATCTAATAATCAAACCCCGTGTAAAGAAAAAAGAAAAGAGAGAGAGAGAGAGAGAGAGAGAGAGAGACAGAGGGAGAAAAGTAAGCACCCTGATACTCTACCATTGTTGCGACAAAGAATAAGCCAGCCAACCGATAAACAGAAAGTAATAACCTGAGGGAAACAGGACATCGCACCGACACACCGATCAATAGCATATTAACACAATTTGTTGAAACAGCTACAAAACCGTACCCAAACGAAGCTTTGAAACGGCCGAGCGAAAGCTCGGCCGTTTAACAGTCACACGCTTAGAAAACATGCCAACAGTTGACCGACAACAGTATATCGAAACCGGGACAAGATCCATTTCCAAAAAAATGAAAAAAAAAAAAAGAGAAAGAAAGAAACAGAAAAATCCCGAGTCGTCCTTCTCATCGCAGCAGGCTCGCCACGTCGTTCGTGGGCATTCCGAAGATACGGAAGAAAAAAAGAAAAAGATCGAAATCGGAACAAACATCATTGAAACAATTAAATAGTAAAAAAGCGATAAATCTCCGTTAATAACCGAGGAAAGCACAACCGTCACAAGCCTAATTCTCTATCCGGCCGACACCAGCTAAGCTAATTTTTCGATTTCTTTCTCCGTCGACCGAGGATCGAAGGAGGATCCCGGCGCGAAGGACGAACCGCCACGGATCACGCAAACGAATCGCGAACACGCGCTCGGAAAAAAAGAGGAAAAAAACTCTGAAGACGAGAACGCACAGCGAGGAGGGGGAAAAAAGGAAAAACGGAGCCGAAACCCGCGTCCTTCTCGTCTCTCGTCGCGTCTTCCCCCGCTCGAACGATCATCGAGATCGCGGATAACGCGGCCCACGATCGTTGCGAGCTGTCGAGATGGAAGCTGTCCGAGAAACTGAGGGGAAACGAAACGAAGGGAATGAAAAAAACGAACGGGCTCGAAACTGGATAGAACGAAAGGGATTCCGACGAAACCTTCACGGGCAAGAGAGCCCGCGCGATTCCTGTTCGAGGTACGAATACGTGGATGACGAGACTGTGAGGAAACGAAGAAAGAAAGAAGAGAAAAATGAAGGAAGAAAGAAAAGGAAGGGAGAAAATGAGGAAAATGAGGAGGGAAACGAACGAAAGCCGATCGACTCGCCGTTATTACGTTTTGTGGAGCGGGGCCGTAAGCACGGAGAACGAGTACACGGGACGGAACGAGAGGATTTTCAAGCAGAGAAGAGAAGGGAGGAAACAAGAGATAGAGAGAAGGAAGGAACGAGTGAATTGTTTTTAATAAATGAGATGAAGGAAGGAAAAGAGAAAGAGAGAGAGAGAGAGAGAGTAGGATAGGAAAATGGAATAATAAGCATACGTACACATACCTAAACGCGTAAGTTTTAAGGAACACGTGTAAGCAGAATTAAGTAATAGTATTTAACGTTAACACTTGCAAGCTATTAATTAATTATATAAACGATTAAACTAAACGAGTAATTAATGCGAGATAAAAATAAAAAAAACGTAAATATAAACTAGAAAACAAAAGCCGAGCGGAAGGTCGTATCACGCTGCAGACGAAGAGAGGATTTTGCGAATATGCCGCTCTTTGAGACGGGCGGGCGAAGCGAAAATGAAAAAAAAAAAAATTGAAAAACAGATACACACACACACACTAATAAACTAATTATTATTATATGATTATATATTATTATTACGATTATTAACTATCGAGTTCGAGAATCGTCGTGATAACAGAAAAAAAAAAATGGTGGAAAAAAAGTGTAAGAAATTAGAAGATAGCTGTGAGAGAGAGAGTGCGGGCTCTAAAAAAAAGTAAAGAAAAAAAATCCGAGCGCAAGAGAGAGAGAGAGAGTGAGCACAACGAGAACGTTGGGTGTGCGTGTGCAAGAGAGATAGATGCAGAGAGAGAGAGAGAGAGAAAGAGAGAAAACGAAGAGAGAGAGAAGAGAGAGAAAGAACGAAAGGATACGAACACCTCGGGAGAGAGAGAGGGAGAGAGAATGAGAAAGAACGACAGTGGAGGCGACGGTGAGAAGAGAGAGAGAGAGAGAGAGAGAAAGGGGGAAACTGTGAAATAACTTCGAAGCATGTTCATCGAGAATAATAATTCCTCAAACTATTAGGAGCATAATTAGGGTATATTTATTATAACGAAATAACGCGTTTACGTTACGAAGAAGATTTACGTAAATGCAACGCACGCGACGCATAGGGTGAAAGTGTGCGAGCGAGAGAAAAAGAGGAAGAGAAGAAAAAAGAGGAATAATAAGGGAAGATATATATATATATATATAAATAATAAAAAAAATCGTGTTTTTTTTTCTTTTTTCTCCGTAAAGTCCGCGAACGGATGCGGGTATTATGCGCGCGATATAAAAAAAAATTAGTCTAGGAAGAGAAAAATTTCGTGTGCTTTTTTTTTTTCTTCTGAAAAGTTGCGTACGACTGAATAAAATTAGCGCGAGAGGGAGAAAACGTGGGGAAGAATACGGTGAGAGAGGGAGAGAGAGAGAGAGAGAGAGAGAGAGAGAAGAGAGAANAAGAGAAACGC